AAAATCATGGCCTATCGGGCTGTGTATGATGCTCGTAAGTGATTGGGGATCTTACTGTAGGGAAGATGGAAGCTTTCTGATGACTGCACGTCTTCAAATGTGAGTTGGCAAGAAAAAGGCAGCCTAGAAAACAATGCTCATTCAAAAATAGTTGAACAGGGAAGAGCTGAGGAGTAAGGCTAAAGAGGTGAAGGCTTTATATGTAAAACAATAAGCGACAGCCTGAAAAACCCCACCACCATTTTTCAGCACAGGGACACTGATGCATGTGATGTTAGTCTGCTGGAGTGCATTAATTTCTGTGCACCAGCAGGCTTGATAAATCGAGTCTGCTCTGACATGCTGGATTTCCAGTGTGTTTGAGCAGGCTCCCTGCACATATATAGGAGCCCTTAGTGACTAAATCCTTTAATATCTCTATCTGGGCTTTTTTGGCACTCGATTTGTTTTTATATCTATGAAAGCAAGAAAATCTGTTCTGCCAGCAGGATTCACAAGGGATTAAAATAAATGCTTGTGCTTCTGGGCTGGATTCTCTACAAAACCACACAGGCTACAGTGGGGTGTGGAACAATGGTGGGAAGCTGGACATCTTCTGCCAACTTTTTTACCTGCTTCTCTTCTGACACTGGACTATAGCAGGAACAACTCTGTTTAACATAATCAAGTTGTACTAGTGTAAATATGGTTAAGCAAGAAGAGAATCAGGACTACCACCACTAAAACTGAACATTGTGGTAAAGAAAGAAACTATATTTCAGAGCACCCTAATATGAATTCCCATGCACTTTGTATCATTTTTGGCCTTAGGAAAAAGCCATCTGAAAATGCTCTAATTATTAAGAAACCACATATCCTATCTGTGCACATAAATATTTCACAAGTGGTTATTTTATACTCATGCAGTGCATGTGGAGTCAGTCATTCATTACCCAATTTCTACAAAATGGTAGGAATGGATCCAGGATAAACTCGTAAACAAGGACTCACTGGGCAATCAATTGTGAAGAGAGCTGTATTCATGGAATTGATCTAGACTGAGTATTTTTATCATACTGAACACTTTTGCATATGGAAAGAACTTTTACGGACTTTGGGAGCTAGATGTGTAACTAGCAGTCTGAGTAACAGTCTTAACTGCAGACAGAATTGCTTCTGAAGAGGCTAGTAAATGTGTCACTTGACCTTGCAGAATAATCCATGTCTAGTATGAAACTCATCTGTCCTGTATGTAATCAGATACTGCAGTAGGTCACATATACCAATGTGTAAAACACTTCTAGCAACCAGATATTTAAAAAAAAAAATAAAATAGATAACCAAGTTTCACCTAGGCTGTTCCCCCTACCCCCCAGCTTTGAAGTTTGCGCAAGCTGTAAGATGCATAAAACAGGGCATGTTATGTTACCTCATAAATGTTAAATTGTTCAACTAAGTCCAAGTCTGTTCCTTTCTTGTTCAAGTGTCTCTGTGAAATAGTTTCAATGCCTAACTCTTCCAGACAGTCCACCACGTCATAGAAAGAGTCTTGATCTGGCAACCCTGAGAGTGTCTGAGAATCAAAAGAAAAACATTTCAATCTCTGTGTTTTAAAATGATTAAACAAAGGTATATGTTTTTGTAAGTGGCAGTGTGTAGGATTTTTGATTAAACAAAAAAACAAAGGGTGAGATTGGAGAGATATAGCTAAGGGAAAAAACCCCACAGAGGGGCATACATTTTAACAAACAACCTCACACAATTTGTAAATCTCTGAATAATTGGCAACATAAATCAGTATTAGCAGTCCATACACAAAGACCAAAAAAGTAGGTCTTTGAGACAAACTATTTGGATAATTCGTTGCTCCATTTAAGTATAGAAAAAAAGAGAAGAGAATAAATGGAGCAACAAATTATGCACAGGCACTCTGCGCGTGTGGCATGCAGAAGGTCAGGGAGGAGACAGGTAGTGCAGCAGCGTACAGGGCAGGAAGCAGAAAGCAAAGTAGCAGATCAGGCAGGGGCCGGGGATTGGAATGGGACTTGGGGAGGGCATGGGGTTAATTTGTGGCATGCCTGCCAAAAGGGTTAGCCCCCACTGTGTTAAGGTATCAGGCCCAAGAATGTCCAGCAGAGAGAAAAAAAGATTAAATGAAGATTGGCAAAGGTGTCTTCCTGACTATTCCTGTCTTATCATCCTTAAGAAGGTGGAGCATGAAGCTGACTGGTGCTAGGTCAACAAGAAATATCTCCTGCCATTTGTCTTCTGTTTCAAGCCCTTCGGTAGAACTCATTTTGCTAAAGCACAAGCTGCTCAGTTCTTACAGAGCTGTTACCTTTCCCTTTCCTTTCTGTCTTACTAAAAGGATGACAGTAACATAGAAGCACACCTTATCAACTAGCTGAATCAGAGGTGCTCAAGTTTTCATAAGCCACAGCTTACTTCATCAGATCTCTGATTCAGTCAGTCTGTAAGTTGCACTTCTACCTTGCCTTCTGCCTGACTTCAGAATAACATGGCTAACTCCATCTTACTGTGAAAAGGATTATTATCTACCTTGACTAGTGTGATTTATTTGAAGGATTACAATATATCTAAAGCATTTCTAGTTGTGGAGCAAACATTTACCAATAAGATTAAAGGTGTTCACAGCCATTAACATATATATTTTAGTGACAGAATTCTTTAATTTTTGTGGCATGCCTGCCAAAAAGGCTGGGCTCCACTGTGTTAAGGTACCAGGCACAAGAATATCAAGCAGAGAGAAAAAAAAGATTAATCAGGAAATAGCAAAGCTGTCTCCCTGATGATTCCTTTCTCTTCATCCTTAAGGAGAAAAATTCACATTTTCATTTGTTAAGGCATATTGAGAGAGAGAGCTTCTCTCACTGCAGTTGTTTTGCCAGTGTTTCCAGCATACTGAGAATTAATGTGATATTGTTCTTCTGCAACAAAGCCAGAGAGCACTGTGTATTGCATTGTGCCATTACAGTCTGGAAAAGAGGATGGCAATATGTGATCAATCCCCTACTATGGCCACACAACATGACCACATGCGGGAAGATGAGCTACTAGAGAGAGACTTGCTTAAGCACAAATGGCACAAACTCCCTCCCTTTCTGTGGCCCAGCACCTTGTACAGCCATTTACCATTAAATAAGGAGAAGTGGTAAAACCCTATTTCTTTGATTCTGCAATGTTTTACCCCACTTTGCATTGCTGTTAATCATGAACCGGGGAAGAACAACAGAGAACTGGGCCCAAGTAGATTAAGAGGCTAATTCTGTTGCTCTTGCTCATGCTGAGCAGCACCTTTTTGTGTGTATTGGGCAACTTACTTATCATGCTACACATGACTAATTCAAGTTAATGGAAACATTACCCTGACATCAGCTGAGGTGTGAACTTAAAGCACAACAGTTATTTTGCACTTGGTCACTATGTACCACAAGTACACCATGTAGCATAAGTACCCTTTTGTGATTTGGCTCAACACCTTTATAGGGTAGTGGGACATAAAAGGGATTACATGAATTGCTAGTGAAGAATAGCTATTCTGGGCTATATAGATGAATTTCAGAGTGGCAGAATTAGTATCTGAGCCATTTAAATGAGACAGAAAATGATAATGACATTTTTTTCAGTACAAGAAAATAGGTTTGAAGCAGAATCAGTGAGAGGAGTCTCTCTCACTGCTTATTTTTCTTAAAGAAATATCTTTTCCAGTCATTACAGGATAATAATCAAGGGTTAATCTTATATTTGTGGTGTAGTCTAGTCAGCCTTCTGTATCCTAGGAGTGCTCAGCATGAATATAAACTAGGGGTGCACTGACAGAGATTTTGGGGGTTGATACCGATAGCCAATATTTAAGGAGGCATATTGGACAATCTGATCCAATTTTCGATATAGCTGCCTCCAGCTGGTAAGTCTAGTGTGGTGGAAGGGGAGGGGGGAGGGAAGGGGCATGGGGGAGTAGATCAATGCCCCCGAGGTGAAGAAGGGAGGGTGCAGAGGCAGGTGCTGCCCAACGGGACAGGGGGGGCCACAGGACAAAGCCACGGCTCATGGTGGGGCAGCTCCCACCGCAGTTTGAACTCCGGGATGGTGCAGTGGGGGCATATGCCCCCAGATCTGCGTGTGGGAGGCAGGCGGGCTGCAGCTGCGGGCTTGAGCCAGTGCTGCATGGGGCTCTTCTCAGCAGGGGAGGTGCTAGGAGAGGGCTGCAGCCACCACAAATTTTGCTCCAACTCTGCTCCTAGTGCCGCCGCCAGCTGCCTCACTCAATGCTCTGCTTCCACCCACATGCTGGAAAAAGCCAGGCCTGCAGCGGGCAGTGGTGCAGGGCTGGGAGTGGAGCTGTGGTGAAATCTGCGGTAGCTGCAGTCACCTCCCAGCACTGCAGGTGCCCACTACGAGCCTCGCCCCCACTGAGAAGAGCCCCATGCAGCGCTGGCTGCAGCCCGTCCTGCCCTGATCAGATCCGGCTGCACATGCCTGCCCTGTGCCCTCCTGAAGCGGCAGGAGCCAACCCTCTACCCAACGAGCCGTGGCCCCATCCTGAGCTCACCCCACCCCAGCTGGGCAGCGCCTGGCTCTGCCCCCTCCCTCCCTCACCATAGGGGGGTTGATCTGCCCTCACTATGCCCCTTCCCTTCCTCCTCCCCTTCTAACTTACCAGCTGGAGGCAGCTCTCCATGCTGCAGGCTCTGCTCTATGCATTTAGTGGGCATTTATCAGCCAAGTTATTTGCCTCATTGGGCTGATATCCAATATAGACAATTTTCTTTATATTGGTACTGATCCAACATCAGACCAATGTATTGGTGCATCTCTAATATAAACGCTTTAAGGGTCATGGTTACAAAACAAAGCTCTCCATTCAGGAAAGTGTTCTTCTTCACAGTAATGCTTCAACATAGGGTTATGTCCCACTAATGACAATGCAACTTCCACATGTGACTTATCATATTTACTCAAATACAAGATGACCCTGAATGTAAGCTGAACCCCTAATAATTAGATTCTACACATGGAAAATGTATAAATGTATTATCATTTTCTATGTGTGGAATCTAACTTTTGGAGGATCATCTTAAATTCAGCCTCACTCACTGCTGCAGGTGGTGGGGGGAAAGAAGTGATAAGGTGGGCAGTAACAGGGCAGACAGTAAGGTAGCATGTGGTAGGGCAGGTGAGGGGCAGGCAGTGTGGTAGGCAGTGACAGAGGCGGGCAGCTTGCCTCCTGCTGCCTGTCCCCCACCCAACTTACCCCTCATTGTGCTTCCCTCCCACAACCCCAGGTTTTCCCAATTCCCCCTTCCCATTCCCCACTCCTCTCTCCATGCCACTTCTGCCACCCCAGCCTTGCCGCACCCCCTGTCCCAAAGTTTCTCCGCCCTCACCTGCTCCTCAGCACCCACCTTACCTTTGCTCTGCACTGGCAGGCTCCATCCTTGCTGCAGCCCAGGGCACAGAGCTTAGCTCCTACCTGGCCCAGTGACCAGCTCCAGCACAGCAAAGGTAAGGAGGAGTGTAGTAGAAGGGGAGAGACAGGGGGAAGCAGCATGGTGGAGGAGAGACTGGGGGCTGTGGGGGAGGAGTGGCAGGTCTGCAGGGGGCAGGGGGGAGCAGGCAGCAGCTGTGGCTGCAGCTCCAGCCCTGGCTTGAGGCTGCAGCTGCAAGACCCCCACACCAACCTCCCTCCTCCCCCCTCCTCCATTGCTTCCTCATGCTCAATTGTAAGGTGAGGGTTTTTCCTCTCTAAGTTATATAAGTTATATGGGGGGGGATGGGAACTTCATTTTCTAATCCAGTAAAAATGGTAAGTTTTTCTTATATCACTGAAAATATACAATATAAACAGATCAGTTCTTCTCTGAACTGGAACCTAATAAGGGACAGTTTCCTGTGGATTCAAGAAATGAAAACACTGCATTGGAATTTGGAGGTACCTTTAAAACAGTCTGGGCCCTACATACTTAAGAAATTACTTTCTCCCTTTCACCCCTTTGTGATCCCTCAGGTGCGCTGAGAGTAAAACCCCTTGAAGTACTATTAATGTGGTAAGTCTGCTTTGAAAAACACATGTGGGGGTTCATTCTTGCCAGTGTCTCCCTAGGGCTGGAACTTTGTCCCTCTTGAGTTCCACCAGAGCCCAAGCCTGGACCTCTTTCAGAAGCTCTGTAAAAAGCCCAAAAGCTTGTCTAACATCTCTCCCAACTATACGTATGTCCTAAAATGATATTGCATATAATCCTTGCCACTCACTCTTTTCAGGAAACTTTTATTGGTAGGTGTCTGTTTAAGTCTACCAGCAGCAGAAATCCAATCACCACTTCATGCATAGTGGATTAGAGTGAACAATGATGATTTCCTATACTCTTCAAATATTCTTCCATTGCTGTATTTGTGCGTAAGTTCCTCAATCCATCTCAAAAGGCTAACGAAGGAAAATGAAATGAAATCTCTGCTGTCACAGACCAGGGCAAAAGGGGAACTTTGCTGCCTATAACAGAGACATTTTAAATAAGTGGACCACAGTGGGAGGGCATCAGCAGTGCCTATATC